GCCGGCATTTCACGGAATCTCCCACTGCACAGTAGTAAACACACTCTCCGACGAGACCTAGATAGATACATTCTGAGAAATAACAACTCCCCTACAAATCAAGCAAAACCCCTCAACAAATCCCCCCCCAACCGGATCTACACACACGTACAACACCCGGGACGTAAAATGATCTTCAACCACTTACTACATCCCTCCGCCGGCATCCGGGCGGTGTCACTAGGAATGTCGGATTCATCGGGGTAAGAATGCCGATGGATGCCTGAACTGCAGTGGCCAGTGGGGAAAGAAAGGTCTTCTGACTCAGCCGAGAATTGGCTGGACCGTAGGACGTAATGTCATTGGGTGAGCCATGGCCAAGTCCAGGCTCGAGTCCCAGCGACCATTTTCTGCCCATACTACCAAAAGGCGGTCAAATTTTGTACAGATTTCAGATGAGTGTTTGGGGATCTGTATACTCTAAAATCCGACAAAATCCGAGGTTTTATCATTGAGGTCGACTAGCTTCTGCCGCTTTGGGCGGTGGGAGGGGCGGTCGGGGTTGGGTTTTGCCATTGATTTATCTACTTACTTACTCCGTATTGCCTAGTTGCCTTGGTTGGATAGGATGGCAGTTTCTTCGGTGTTCAATTAATTGGATACAGTGTAGTTATTTATGTATGTATGCATGTATGTATGCATGTATGTACTTGGAACTGACATTTAGACAGTCTGTTACTAGTAAGTACACCTCGAACTACGTGCAACATACCAGCAACTAGAATAATGATTAAGTACATCGATCAACCTTCATGACACATATAGACAATAGAGAAGTTCCAGCTCCCACTCATAACCCATGTATATACTACGTTCATGACCCCAGTCCATTATGACATAATCTCCTCTCCTCTCTCGTCATTCCATCTCCCTTCATTGCTCCTTCTTCACCGTGGGCTCAGTCGCCAACGTCTTGATAATAGTGGCCCCAACATGCGCCGACTCCTTCCAACCCTTCTGTCGCATCCAGAACCGTTCCGCCGGGTCAATGTCGTGAGTTGACCACTCACGAGCATCCTCTTCCAATGACTTCCGCGTAATATCAGGCACTTCCATGGATTGATCCGGCCCATGCTCATCCCCTTCGTCATCACTGCTGCGCGCCGCGATCGTCGACTCCAAGTACCGCTTGCGCATAAGGTACCGCTCCGTCCGCTCCTTCTTGGCATTCGGGGGCTCCAACTTGGCCATGGCTGCGCGGATGGCATACCGCACCATGAGGTAGATGTGCTCGGAGAAGAAGATCGTCAGCAGCAGTGCCCATCCGCGGATACCGGTCGGCTCGCCGTTCGGGCCTTCATGGCCGTTGCTGAACATGTAAAGAAGTGCGGAGCTGGTGATGCTGCCGACCCATGACAGGAAGCCGAGGCTTTCCAGCCAGGGCCCAATGGTATCGGCGCGCTGCGGCCAGGGTCTCTTGCACTCCATGCAGATCTTAAAGAAATCGGACCGAAGTTCCACCCAGTTGTTGACCAGGAAGGAGACGGGGACGAGGGGCCAGACAGGAGAGAACAAGGCCAGATATCCGAACTGGATGCACATCTCTCGCAGGTCTTCAGTCACGTCGTAGTCCTCCAAGTCGGCTTCGTTGCGTACCCGGGTCAGGAACTTGGTCTCATCGGGGTGGTCGTCGAACAATGCCTCTTTCTTGGCCTCGGTACCATCCTCGGTCTCGATCTTTCCTTGCTTTCTGCGGTTGTATTGCTTGTATTCGCGGGAAAGGCGCTGCTTCAGCATAGGCACAATGGTCTCCATGGCAAAGTTGACAGCTTGGGCTGTGACGGTGAAGTAGATCACCTGCTTGCGCAGACGGTCCGGGTCAATGCTAAATTCTGTCCTCCGTGAGCTTGCGTCTTCCTTCGACACGAAGGGCCGAACAGTCAGATGGAAGACATCAAGGTACGGCACGATCCGGCTCGCGAAAGGTACATAGACAAAGGCTGTGAGAATGATTGGCAGATACGAGGTGATAAAGTTGATAATGAACACCTTCTGCGTCAGAGCCACATCGTATGCAGGCTGCGTCTCGTAGTTCTCGTAGTCATTGAGCTTCGTCGCGATAGACACCAGGACCGAGCTCATCGTTGGGATGAGAGCCGAGAGCAGAATGGTGGGGATGAAGACCTGATCTGTTAGCGGACCTTCTGAGATCCCGGCGATTCAGACTCACCAAGTAGGTCTTCAGTGGACCATTGTATACCTCTGAGATGAAGATCTCAATAGCAAAGCACGTGGCGATAATGACACCCAATGCAACGGCGGAAAGCAAGGCGAACGGGACAATCAGCAGTTGTCTATACATCCGCCTGGTCGCGGGGAAAACCCCCCTGACCTCACCAGTGCTTTCATCCTGAACTTCCCTCTCGGGCTTGAACTCGCGTCTCTTGGGTCGCACAACCGAGACCCCCTTTGTTTGCCAACGACAGCTCAGATCCTCCTCCTGGCGCTTCCAGTACTCGATGAAAATGATACACCACAAGCTATTCACGACCGCATATATGATGGAGAAGGATCCGAGGAGCAGCCAGCAAGAGAAACCGAATACGGCAGGGAACATAAGGAACCTAAAGTATGACTGTAGGAATGCGAAGTAAAACCCGACCTGTACGTAGAAACACCCATTAGCTGCAGATCAAGTACGCATGCAAGGCCGGTCTTGTCCTTACATTCTCTCCGAACGTATTGCGTATCTGATCCAAATCATCAGCTGACAAAAACGTCTTCTGGCTCCAGTCCTTCATGCACTGTTTGTTCATGGCCTCATCATGCAGCGGGAAGATCGCATCGACACATTTCCATTCGCCATGTTTCGGAGTAATACCAGCGCCACCTGCTTCTTTAGGGACAGTGATCATATGGTAGATAACGCGCAAACGCTCCGATTCCGACTGGGCCTCCGCCGAGGATTCCGATTCGGGTTCGGTGTTGCGGACGCCATAGAGCCAATCGCGGATGCTAGTGAAATGAAATAGACGGATCAGTAAGAGACGACCAAACCCGACCGTGCAAAGAGCAAGCGCTCACCGTGATTGATAGATGGCACGCTTCAGGCTCTTCTTCCGTGACGCTCGGACGAATATCAACAGCGACGATTCGTCCCCTTGCCTCACTTCGGTCTGCAGTCCAACCTCGAAGAGTTTCCGCAGCAGTCGATCGAGTTGCTCGGTCGCATGGGCGGTGTCTAAGTATAGATAGTGGTGGTTAGGTCGGAGCGACACCGGAATTGCTGGGCCTGGGGTACACCGCCATCTTACCAGTCTCACCACCAAAGTTGTAGCGAATCACGTAGTCCACATAGTGATTGCTATGCACAGGGTCCCGAGGGAGAGTGGAAGCCATTGAAGAGGAAAGAAAGAGGGATGTCGAGTGCAATCAGGGAATCATGAGTACGAATAGGGAGCACTGTCGACAAAGCATCGAGAGTATCCCAGGGGAGCGGGATCTACTCGCAGTAATTAATAGTAATCTAGTGATTAGGGAGGAGCTACCGTTTTTTCCCAGGGGATCTACGCCGCGATGACGACGTCACCACCGATCCGATCTGGCGCTTAGGGTTAGCCCTCATCGTGGCTGGTGCCGATCGTCGCCCCCATCGTCACTATGCTTTCATCAATCAGCAATTCTCTCTGCTCCAGTGTGCCTTGATCGTTCATCAAGTTCCTTTGAGGGGTGATGATGCTAGCTTATGCACCGGAGAGTCCTCATCCAGACTGGATATGTTGTTTTTCCTTCACCGCCTTCTGCTGCTGAGTATTTCCGGGCGGTGAGACTCATCCCTGTTGCTGATCTGCCAGTGGCTCCATATAAAGTAGTCCAAGAGGTCAATCATTTCATGTGATGCTTGAAAGCCACAGCCACAACATTATTCTAGAATCGTAATCTGTACAGTTTATTGCGATCGGGATGGGACATGCTTAAATAATCCCTCCACATCCTCCCGCATCTTTTGATCGGGCTCTTAAATCGTTCACAATCCCTCCGCCAACTTGTTCAACGCCGGTCCCTCCATCATCATCTTGGTCCACTCATCCATGGCTTTAGCCCCAACCTGCTCGTAGAACTTGATGCTGGGCTCATTCCACTTCAAAACACTCCACTCAAGACGTCTGCCCTTGATCTCCAGGACCTTGGCGGCAAGGTACTTGAGCAACTTGAAGCCGTAACCATTACCCCGAGCACTAGGCTGAACATAAAGATCCTCAAGGTAAATACCCGGAGCTGCGCGCCACGTAGAGTAGTTGTAGAAGAAGAGTGCCATGCCGACAGGCTTGGGTGTGGGGTTCTCCGCCGTCGCAGGAGGGGTAATAAGCGCGGTGTACACGGAGCCACGCTTGGGCGGGCTGTCGGGGAAGGACAAGGTTTCAAGGAGGGACTCGTGAGTGGCCTCTACTTCGTGCAGGGCTTTTTCATAATCTGCCAGCTCGCAGATGAACTGGTGGATGATCGGGACATCTGCAATGGGAGCCAAGACATGGTTAGTCAAGATCGGAGGCACTGCCAATGGGCCAACGCAGGTTATGCTTTGACGACATCAGAAGGAAGTACTTGCCCTCAGGAGTCGCAAGGCGAATATTAGGCTGGTCAGACATTGTGCCGGTATGTGCAATAGCTACAGAAAGAAGCAAAATGTTGAAAAAAGACGAAAGCAAGAAGCCGGGGATGAATATATATGAAGACGTCGGAGGACCCGCCTGTCGTTCCCCACCGTGCGGTCGGGACCCGCAAATGTCTCCTACTCTCGAAAGGGGCTTTGACTGCCCTGCGCCCTTCGGTTGACATCGAGTCCTCTGGAAGGTCGCAGAACCACAAGAATAATAATGTCAACTAGGACTATTTTGGAGAGACAGGATGAGTATCGACAAGGTATAATAAGATGTGAATCAAGAATGCTATGTACCAGGTATAATTACAACTATGTCCTTGCCTCCAAGAACCATGGTTTCCGGCAAAGGCTTGGAAGTCTAGCGTGAGGTGATGGCCGCCATCCACTTTTGCTCATCGGTCCTGTTCAAGTCAGCATATACAAGTCTCCAGAAGGGAAGGAAAGAATGAACACTTGGATACTCACCGGTCGAAATGTAGCAGCATCCCCAGGACAGGCACCAGCTGCTTCTGGTAGTTCTTGTCCTTCTGCTCCAGAAACTGGAGTAGAACATTCTTCAGGTAGATGTAATCGATGGATGATGTATTAGGCCCGGTTGGCGTCTCGCTTCTCCGGGTTGACGGACTGCGGTCTTTGGAGACTGGAGAGGCCAGCGCTTTGCGTGATCCGGAATCGATGGATGATCTGGATGACTGCGGATTGGGACCGAAACGACTCTCATCCGGTAGCATCTTGTTGGACTTGCGGACCTTTTCTAGGCGCGCGTTGGTCTCCTCCACGGACCGGCGTAACTCGGCCTTCTCCTTCTCCAGATCACGGACTTGTTTTTCACTTTCGTCCAATGCATCCCGCAACCGTGCCATAGCCTGTCGTAGATCACTGAGTTCTTGGGTGGTCTTCTCCGACTCGGCCTCGAGTTGATCCCGTCTGCGTTTCCAGTCCTTCTGAGTATGCTCCAGCTCTTCCTTATCCTCCTCCACAGTACGCAAGGCTCGCTCCGCTTCGCGCAGCTTGCCCTTCAAGTCTTCCAACTCACGCGCCCGGCGGCGACTCTGAGCACTTGCTTCATCCTCAGCCCTGTCGCGTTCTTCGATGGCAGCCTCCATGCGCTCTTTGAAATCCCGTACTTTAGCCTCTGCGCGGCCGTCAATATCATTGAGAAGACGTCGCATGGTCTCGCCCTCCCGAGTCCGTTCGCTCAGCAGGCGATGAGCATCCGCTAATTCTTCTTCCAAGCTTTCACAACGCTCCCGGGCTTCCTTCATCTGCATGCCCAACTCCCCAGCCTGGTCGCGCATGCTATTCATCAAGCTTTGTGCGCTGGCATGCTGTGCAGTCTTCAGCTGGATCTCCTCTCGCAGGCCGCCAAGATCCTTGTTCAACTGAGCAGCTTGGCTCTCAGCTTCGCGGAGCCGGGCCCGAGCTGCCTTGAGCTCATCTTGAGCCTTGGACAGGTCCGATGCCAGCTTCTCCTTTGCCTCCACAGCTTCCTGCTTTTTGCTCTCTGAGTATCGCAAATCAGATTGGGCGACCGTCAATTTCTCCTCGCTCTTCAGACGGCTGTCCGTCTCTTGTCTGATCTTCTGATTGAGAGACTTGACTTCTGCGTCCCTTTCTGATATGGTAGACTTCAGCGACTTCAGCTCTGCGCGCAATTCGTCATGCTGCCCCTCCAGGTTTCGCAAGTCGGCTGTCTTGCTGTTCAAGGATTCCTTTGTCGACTTCAGCTCCGCGGACTCGGCCCGTAGCTTCTTCACTTCCGGTTGCAGTTTCTGCAGAGTCTCCCGCAGTTCTGTCATATCCTTGAACCGCGTGGCAGCCAGCTGCTGGGCAGCTGAAAGCTCAGTCTCCAGTGTAGTAGACTTGATCTTGAGGCTCTCATATTCGTCCTTCAGGTCATTGTGTGCCTTCTCGGTATCAACCTTGCTAGACTCATTACTCGTCCGCAAATCTGTCAGTTCCTTCTCCAGCTTGGATATCGTCTCCTCCAGCGCGTTCTTCCCGGCGGTTAGCTCCTTCACCTTATCCTTGGCTTCAACATGGTCTTGGCCGATATTGAGTAAGTCATCGCGTAGGGTTTCGATTTCCTCTTTCAAATCCTCCTCTCCCTTGATCCTGGAGCAGAGACGGTCAATGGTAGCGTCCTTCTCAGCCAGCTGCGTTTTGAGCGATTCGATGTTCTGCTCCAGCTCGGTGAGCTTCAAGGCTGCTTGATCATCTTGCTCTGCCGATTCTTGCTTCTCCTCAGCAGGAGCAGCTTCAACTACTTTGTTGGCCTCCTCGTTCGCCTTGCCTCCCTTCTTCTTCTTTTTGTTCTTCTTCTTGCCTCCCCCAGCACCGCTTGCGGGGTTCGCTGCTGGTGCTGTAGGTCCGGCGGAGTCCTCTTTCACTGCTGCAGTTTGTGGTGAAGGAGCCAGACTCTCGCGAAGTTCATCAAATGCTGCTTCCTTTCCATTCGCAATTTGGTCTTTGGTCTGTTTCCATTTCTCGTTATCTTTGAGATTAGCATCCAGGAAATTGACAACATTCTGTAGTTTGCCCATATCTTCTGTCTTCTGTCCCATTTCAGTCTTGAGACAGGTAAATGTTTCTTCCGTCTCCTTGAGCTGGGACCGCAGACTGTCAACCAGACCTTGTAGGACCCCAAGACGCCGGTCATTGGCCTCCTTTTCGCGATTCAAGTGTTCCAATTTTGATTCAATCTCTGCTTGCTGATCAGCGCTCTTGGCTTGAGCAGTCTGAGCCTGGAGTTGCTCGATCTCATCGGCCTTTTGCTTGAGCTCGGATTTCAAGTTTTCGATTTCGGAGCTTGTCTTCGCCACAGCCTCTTCTGATTTTTCGAGCTTGGCTTTAAGCTCCTCAACTTCCTCTTGATTAGAGGTTTTGAGTTTCTCCAACTCCGCATCCTGTTTGTCCTTAGTGTCGCGCAACTCAACAAGCTCCCGGGTAGCGGACTCCAGGTTATGGACCATGCCTTCCGTTGACTCGCGGGCTACTGACAAATCGCGCTTGAGCGACTCTGTCTGGGACTTCAGAGTCTCAATTTCCTCCTGTTTCTCCTTCAGTTCTGACTCCAGTCGCGGGATTTCGCTGTCATATGAGAAGAACTCCTCACTATCACCCTGTGCCCCAGACTCCTTCGGAGACGTCTCCGCAGTATCCTTGGCGCCAGAAGTGGTCGACTTCCCGGACTTCGTAGCGCTATCGGGTGTAGATTCGTCGGTAGCGGAGCTCTCGGCAGCTGGCCCTTCGTCTTTCTTGGCTTGGGATTTGCTATCCTCCTTGAGTTTTGTAACTTCATCCCAAGCGGCTTTGGTGGATTTCTGAGACTCTTCCAATTTCTTCTTGTAGTCGTCCCGCTCTGCTGTTACACGTTTCAATTCCTCGGTCACCAGGTCACCTTTCAACGAGATCTGATTCAAGTACTCTGTCAAGGCTTTCGGTTCGCTGATCGACGTCAGGGGGGTGTTCTCTCGCAGGGCAGCTTCGAATGGTTCGATCGACAGGACACGCAAATGGGCCATGCGGTACGCTTTAAGGAGATCTGAAGTAGAGCAACAAGTTAACAACATGGCCGGACGATCGTTGCAGAGCGCTCATTACCTTGATAACGGGATTCAAGTTTGCCCAACCTTCGCAGTTTTACCCGAATCTCTGGCGGGAGCTCAGACGGTGACTGGTTCGTCTCAGTTACAGGCTGAGCCTCGGGCTTCTTGGTTGCGGACTCCTCAGAAGACGTCTTCCCCTCCCCGGCGTTCTCCTCCGGGGCAGCTTCGGAGCCACCTGCCGACTCCAGACGCGGAGTGGCAGATCTGCTGGAACCTTCATCATCTCCGATGGCGAACTCCGGTTCGAACTCGTTGGGATCAGGGCCACGGACAGGGGTACCAGTGTTTCGCCGAGGACGAGAGGCTCGCCTTGTCGGAGATAAGTTGCGACCCGTGGGATGACGAGCGGAGTTGGAGCGCGAAAGTGAAGTTTGAGCAGACCGTTGACGAGCTTGTTCTTCTGCAATCCGCGAATCGATTGCGTCGCGCAAGCGCTAAATTGGGAACAAGGCGGGATCAGCCACAGCACTGGCACGAGCACAAGATGGCACGGGGAATGCGAAACGGGTAAATAGTAATGGACAGGTTGAGAGGGAGATTTGAGAACAACTAGCGGGCGGCGACTTACCTGAAACATGACCGTGGCGGGCCTGTGAGCCAAGGCCACAGCAAAACTGATGAACGAAAGACAGAAAAAGAGAAGTCGGCAAAGGGTGAGAACAAGGAGAAGCAAGCGATAGGCAGGAAAGAAGGGGAGCATGAAATCCGGCGGCGGCGGCGACTACAACAACTCATCCACACGGGGGCTTCTTCGGTTGGCAGTTTGGGCGGCCAGCACGGGGCAGAAAGCGGGTGGCCCGCCCAATAACTTACAGTAAGTGGACTCGTTCCTGGGGGCGGTGAGCAGCCGTTCATCAATCTACACTAATTTCATGTTGAATTGTTTCTGTTCATTTCATTAATCCGTTCCCCAAGAAGAAAATTTGTTGATTCAACCTTCACTCAATTGGCGATTTTGTAATTGTATGTATCCAACATAAAGACCACACCGCATATCATAAGAGTTCTGATAACTGTACCCCGTCATGGTGAAGAAGCTACTATATATAGATAAACAAGCGGGTCTCTGGGACGATAGCAATGACTCTAGCGCAAAGACATCCTCGGTGACAGCATTTATATCGTGATAAAGGGATGGAAAGGAGAACTACTTAAATAGATAATCAAATAAGGGGATTTTTCATGATGGTCAATATGACGATGGCGATAGCACAATTACTTTTCCTTTGTAACTACTAGATGTAAACAATACTATTCGGTTAGTGCTATGCTCTAGCTTCAGATATATATTTCTCGCAGTAGTACTAGCCAGCACCGTGCTACCAGGGAATTCATATAGTATTTCTTCAGACGAAGCTCTACCATAATAGCGATATTCAAGACCTAAGGCCATAAAGAATCAAGCACTCATACTTCAGTTTTTCTTTCGATCTTACTGGGGATTGAGTCTGCAGAAGACTGCATTTGACATCTGTAGGAACGTTCAATACTTAATTCCCCGTTGAACAATGATAGAAGTTGGAACATTGCCACTATGTATAAGCTTGCCGATCATTGTGAATGAGATTTTGCTTAATGGCATGCACCTCAAGGAAAAATAAAATAAAATGATAATAATTTTATCTATATCTAAACTTTCCAAACCCTGCAGGAAGAGCGGGCCCAAAAGCAAGTACGTCACTCTAGTATCCAGTTAAGTAGTTACCGCCCGGGTTGTTTTCTGCCCGGGTCTCCGCACCCAAAGAAGCCCGCCTTTTGGAGCTGCTGCGTCTCGACAACCAGCCACAAGCATCCCTGGGTGCACGTTCTCCCCTGCGTGGATGATGCTGGCTACGAGCCTGCCTACTGTTTGCCCACCATCCCGTTGCATCCAGCCGTGACGCCTGAGTGTGGGCGTGGATGTGACTGAAACGAGTGCAAAAAGAGAGAGAAGAAGAAGAAGAAGAAGGACGAGAGTTGTTCCAAGTTGGGGTGCGGTGCTGCCTTGATTTCTTGGAATCCAACTAGTAGGCGTGTCTTAGCGTCTGGTCTCCATCGAGCTCTCATGGAAGCCCAGGGAATCATGGCCACCGGTGACGGAATTATCGCTGCACTACCCTCGCTTGAATCTTCAAGCCTGGACCCTCTCCATGTGTTGCCTGCATCCTCGTCGACCGCCGCACGATCCCTCGCAACCTCAATCCCCGCCTTAACCGCCAGCTTCTCCGTCGTGTCCGGCTTCTCTTCGCATCTCCCTCCCCCGCCAATAACCCCTCCAGCACCTTCAACCATGGTGGGGTGGATCGGCTGGATCTTTTCCTTCGTTTTCCAGGTCATTCCAAGTGTCTTATACTGGATTGTTACCTTTACGACCATCACGTTGCCCACATGGCTGTTTACGCTCTTTTCTATGAGCCTGACCTTCACCATGAACTTTACGACCTTGTGAGTGACGCACTCTCAATCCCCTGCTGTATTATATTGCCATTGGCAATCGCAGTTGAATTCTCTAGTGTCAATATATGCTGACAATGACGGTTTCTATCGATAGACTCTTGATCGCGCTGGCCGTGGTCTCGACCATCAGTTGGTTTATCCGCTATCGTTTCCTGAACATGTACAGTCGTCTGCCTCCAGAACCCCAACGCAAGGAACCCCAGCTCGATCTCTTCCCCGACGTACCGGACAGCGACACGAAACCGGGCTTGGCAAACTATCTGGATGAGTTTTTGAGCGCCATTAAAGTCTTCGGCTACCTCGAGCGGCCTGTATTCCACGAATTGACCCGCACCATGCAGACAAGGAAGCTGATTGCCGGCGAAACGCTCCTGCTGGAGGAAGAAAAAGGGTTCTGTTTGGTTGTTGACGGCTTGGTCCAAATCTTCGTCAAGTCCATGCGGGACAGGAAGTCGTGTACAGACGAAGAGCTGAACCGCATGGCAGGTGAATCTTCCGACGAAGACGATCATCGACCGGATGGAAGGCAGGGATATCAGCTGCTTACCGAAGTGAAGAATGGAGCTTCGATGTCCTCGCTGTTTTCCATCTTGTCGCTGTTTACCGAGGATGTCCAATTACGATATGCGGATAGCTCAGCTTCCAGCGCTTCTAGTATAGGTCCTGGTCTTGCCATTGGTCCCGACTCATTTCCGGCGAGCCCTCGGGAAATGGACGACTCTCCCCATGTTTATCAAGGGGATCGTCTCGACCCGGCCTCTCACAGGAACAGCACGGCCGAAGACCTACCGGCTGTGCCACCGTTAAATTTGGGCGAAAGCCAAGTTCCACCTGCCCAATCTGCTCGCTCTGGAAGCAGAAAGTACTCGGGCAAAACGCGTAGGAAGTCAGTGCATCCAGATATTGTTGCACGAGCGATGGTAGATACAACAATCGCGATCATCCCCGCAAGCGCATTCCGACGCTTGACCCGAGTATACCCGAAAGCGACTGCCCATATCGTCCAGGTTATCCTTACGCGCCTACAGAGAGTCACCTTTGCTACAGCGCACTCCTACCTGGGTCTAAATAATGAGGTTCTGGGAATAGAGAAGCAGATGACAAAATTCACAACCTACGATTTGCCAAATGAGCTGCGTGGGTCAGCTCTGGACCGTCTCAAGGACAAATTCATCAAAGAGCGTGATCGCCTAGGGCAGGAGGAAGTTACCAAAGGGATCGCGTTGCATAACCCGTATGGAGGTCGAAGACCCCGGTCGAGTAGCTTCCGAAGGAAGGAAGCCGCTCTTCAGGCAAAGATGGCCGCCTCTAAACGGCCAGTCTCCATGGTTGCTCAGGATAGTGCACTGAGTGATCGCGAAAACTCTGGTGTGAGTCCTGGAGATCTTCTATCTACCATTCAGCTTTCGCGCTTTGGTCCAAGATACGAGCATCTTGCCCCCCGGTTACTGAGTCCTCTTACGGAGAAAGAACACTCTCCCTTACGGTCCCCGTCTCCAATGATTCCAGGACGCGCATCTCCTTTTCACCGGAAAGAGTCTTTGGACGAAGATGCGCTCTTCCGTGAATCGATTCTGGAGTGCATTATGAAAGGTATCGGCTTGACCGGAAGCACCAATGACTTCTTGCGTAAGAGTAGTCACCCGTCAGGCGACGTTTCTCCGAAGCTCCTCTCGTATGATTCTCGCCGCCAGAAAGCCGTCTTTAGCAACAACGCGTTTGGGTTTATTGATCCCTACGAAGGTTCAGCGGATGGTGAGAGTGAATCCATGATGTCCATGTCGGTTACCAGTGCCGGTGGCACCTCGCCTATTGTCAACTTGAGGGAAGAGCTCCGAAACGACATTGAAATTGTCTACTTCCCTCAGGGTTCGGTTCTTGTTGAGCAAGGCGAGCGCCATCCGGGCTTGTACTACGTTGTTGATGGTTTCTTGGATGTTGGTATTCCCGTGGACGACAAGGAAGAAGACCTTGTGGGATCCTCTAGACCGGCACATGAGGAACTGTTCCCTACGCTCAGACGCACCAACACGAGTTCCTCTCGTGTGTCGGGATCGGCAGCCGCAGCAAACGATCCCAGGCGGAAGAAGCAGTCGCGGAAGTCACTCTACCTTATTAAGCCCGGTGGGATCCAAGGCTATGTGGGCGCTGTCGCATCTTACCGCTCGTATACCGATGTCGTTGCGAAGACAGACGTGTACGTAGGATTCCTTCCAAGGGCATCTTTGGAAAGGATAGCGGAGCGGTACCCTTTGGCCCTGTTGACTTTGGCAAAGCGGCTGACCAGTCTGCTCCCACGGTTACTTCTCCATATCGACTTCGCCCTGGAATGGGTGCAAGTAAGTGCTGGCCAGGTGATCTATCACCAGGGCGACGAGAGCGATGCAATCTATCTTGCTTTGAATGGGCGTTTGCGGTCTGTACATGAAGGCCCCAATGGCAAGCTGACCGTTGTCGGTGAGTATGGTCAGGGAGAAAGCGTGGGTGAACTGGAAGTGATGACCGAATCGACCCGTCCGGCGACTCTCCATGCCATCCGCGATACTGAACTCGCCAAATTTCCCCGGACTCTCTTCAACAGTCTCGCCCAGGAACATCCGGGAATCACCATTCAGGTCTCCAAACTCATTGCACAACGGATGCGGGATCTTGTTGAGACTCCGGTAGCCGAGAAAGGAAGTGAACCTGGTGCTTCTGGCACAGTGAAGACAGCCAAGTCGACTCTCAATCTTCGTACTGTTGGCATCCTTCCTGTAACAGCAGGAGTTCCCGTCGTTGAGTTTGGCAACAGGCTGCTACAGGCACTTCACCAGATTGGGGTGACCAACGGTGCCACGTCTCTCAATCAAGCGGCTATTCTGAACCATTTAGGCAGACATGCCTTCAGTAAAATGGGTAAACTGAAGTTATCACAGTACCTGGCGGATCTGGAGGAGAAGTACGGTATGGTCCTCTACATCGCGGATACGACTGTGAACTCTCCGTGGACGCAAACGTGTATTACACAGGCCGACTGCATCTTGCTGGTTGGCCTTGCGGAGTCGACGCCTAGTATCGGTGAATACGAGAGGTTTCTGCTTGGGATGAAGACGACCGCTCGGAAAGAATTAGTTCTTCTGCACGGGGAACGCTACTGCCCCCCGGGACTGACCCGCCAGTGGCTGAAGAATCGTGTTTGGATCAATGGAGGCCATCATCATGTGCAGATGGCCTTCCGACTGACGGCAGAGCCATCTCATCCCCAGACCAAACGCTTCGGGACAGTCTTAAAGCAGAGAGTTCAGGTCATTCAGGCTGAAATCCAGAAGTACACCTCACGCCGTATCCGCCAGTCGCCCCTATACTCCGCACAGACACCATTCAAGGGTGACTTCCATCGCTTGGCGCGTCGGCTCTGTGGCCGGTCTGTGGGGCTTGTGCTTGGTGGTGGAGGTGCCAGAGGTATTGCCCAAGTTGGTGTAATCAAGGCTCTAGAAGAAGCAGGCATTCCCATCGATATCATTGGCGGCACTTCAATTGGTTCTTTCATCGGAGCCCTGTATGCACGGGATGCTGACGTTGTGCCCATGTATGGCCGCGCAAAGAAGTTTGCTGGCCGCATGGGAAGCATTTGGCGCTTCGCTCTGGACCTGACATACCCTACCGTCTCCTATACCACCGGGCACGAGTTTAACCGTGGCATCTTCAAGACCTTTGGAGATAGTCAGATCGAAGATTTCTGGCTTGAGTTTTACTGCAACACCACGAATATTAGCCGGTCGCGTGCCGAATATCACTCTTCTGGCTACACGTGGCGCTACGTACGTGCGTCCATGTCACTAGCCGGCTTGATCCCGCCCATCTGCGACGAAGGTAGCATGCTCCTTGATGGCGGCTACATTGACAATCTTACGGTCGACCATATGAAAGGGCTGGGTGCGGATGTGATCTTTGCGGTGGACGTGGGCTCGATTGACGACAACACCCCGCAAGGGTATGGCGACTCCCTGTCTGGGTTTTGGGCCGTGGTGAACCGCTGGAATCCGTTCAGCTCGTGTCCTAACCCGCCTACGTTGTCTGAAATCCAGGCGCGTCTGGCGTATGTGTCCTCGATTGAGAACCTCGAACGTGCCAAAAACACTCCTGGGTGTCTGTACATGCGGCCGCCCATTGATCCATACGGGACCCTGGACTTTGCGAAGTTTGACGAGATCTACCAGCTGGGATATGCGTATGGCAAGAATTACTTGGAGAAGCTGAAGCGAGAGGGGTCACTTCCGATTCCCGAAGAGACCGAGGAGAAGAAGAAGCTTCAGCGGACTCTGGCGCCCCGTCGCGCCAGTATCTAGTGTTCCTGTCCCTCATTGGATGCTATATTTGACTGCGACCGAGCCAGCCGGGTGGAATAGTTCTGTTTTTCCATGTATCACTCTTTTTCTCCCGGATTTTCAGCGGTGATCTTCTGCTTTATACCCGAGACCATCCCCCTCTTTGCTGTGCATTGTCGCTAGTCCAATCTCGAAAGACCCGACTGTTGTAGATAGATACATATAGACAGACGTGTAACCGAGAGAATTCATTTATTTCCCGCGCTCGTCCCCATCGACCATGTAAATAGTTGGCCCCAGCACTGGGGAGTGGTTCCCGTCCCCAGTTTTCTGGTCGGAATGATTCGCGGCCCCCAGGGGGTCTAGACCCTCGCCATACGCAAGGCTGGATCCCGGGACCCAGCGGAAAGAAACCCTTTTATTGCTTAGTCGACTTGTAGATTCTTTCTATCTTCTCGTCGGTCAACATTCTATTTCGCTGTCTTTCCAGTCGTGGAGCGGAGAAGAAAAGAAAGAAAAAGAGTTGTTAGGCGATCGCTCCACTTGATCTGCTGCTGAAGCTATCGGCTGAACTGCGGGTGAGTAGTAATTAATTAATTCTGTTTGTTTGTTTGTTGGCGAGTGGCTGTCAGTCAGCTTCCCATAATCCAATCCTTCCCCTCCTCCCTCGGCTGTTGTGACACGCGGCTTGGGTTCTCCTCCGAATCGGACCTCGCCAGCTTTCCTCCGACGATCATCAACATCAGCGTCAACATCATCATCATCGATCGTCATTATTCTTCCAACCTTTCATCCCAATTAATTCACCCGCTATCTGTCGGAGACTTATCTTGACAGAGCCGGGTGTTCTCTGCAATGCGCGTGCGGCCTCGCTGACCAGCAAAGCCACCATTCTCAAACCCCGATGCTGCAGGGTCTCCAAACTTTAATGCGAGAACCATCATGCAAGGCTGAGCCTATTCATCATCCCTCCCATTTACTCCCTCCCCAACGGCCTCGGGTGAGATCACTTCAAAGACACCAGCGTCTTCGAAGCCCGATTTATTCCCCCGTGAGTGGGATCTACACAGAATGGTCCAATCGCTGGGTCTGTCCATATGCTCCAGGCGCCTGTATACATGGTGCTTCACCGTGTTTTGCTTGGGGCTCCTGGCTCTACTGTACATCCGACTGCTGAAGGATGATCTCACCTTAGTTCTGAGTGCGTTTCCACCTCCCCAAGCTCGGAATTGAAATCAACAGGGTAGCTAACGCTATGCAGGTCGAGTCGAGAAACATCCGGCCAGGCGCAAACCGAACGCATTGGTTCTGGCCAAAACTAGCTCTGAGGATGTCGCCTGGGCCTACGCTCTCAAGCCCCAGTAAGTGTACTAGACTCAATTCCTCCCGGTCGGATTATCGTCACGGTATGCTCACTAGTTGGAAAGTTGGAAACCTTACATCTACACCTCCGACAAAGAGCCTGGATACCGTCCTATCCCGGCAAACAAGGCCCGCGAGGGCATGGCATACCTGACGCACATTATTGAACACTACGACTACCTTGCGGATGTTACGGCTTTCATGCATGCCTCCGCCACTCAGTGGCACAACGATGTTGGCGACATGGCTTCATCTTCCCTACTGCAAAAACTCAGCCTGGACGCCGTGAACAAGGCTGGGTATGCGAATCTCCGCTGTGAGCACCGCCCAGGATGTCCCGTGGCCGTGCGTCCCTTTGATCCAGCCATGGAGTCGAATCATAACGTGGTGTATCGCAACTTCACCTCTATCTACATGGACATGTTCTCCGTGCCGCGGGACCAGGTCCCTACCGAGATCGGTGGGGTCTGTTGTGGTCAATTTGTACTGACAAGGGACCGGATCCGGGAACGGCCACGAGATGACTATGTGCGAATACGCGACTGGGCTTTGGCGACCGATATGGATAACTTTGCGGCGGGGTCGGTCTTTGAGATGCTCTGGCATATCATCTTCCTTGAGCAGCCTGTTTCGTATGTGCCGCGAAATCTATCTGGTGCAAAATGGAAAAGAAGATGCTGACTCGATATATCAGATGCCCCGATGTCCAACAGTGTTATTGTGAGCTTTACGCGATGTGCCCAGAAATCGATGCTGGCTCTTGAGTCACGACATCTTTGGCACTTTGTTGGGCCAAATTCCTGCATAAGCTGAATCAGGTCTTATGGCTCCTTCTGGTGCGACCGTAAATACTAGGCTGACAGCGTAAGTATGCGTGTGAGCCTGTTGCGGCTGATTCATCACTGGCCAGTGTGGTATCACTACACAGCCGCGCAGGATTCAGATGTCGGGCCTAACTGGTGTCCTGACCGCTCCATACAGCCTCCCGCCCCTGCAATATGTCAGCGTGCCTGCCTCGTCTTGCAAGTCTTCTTATTTGCAACGTATTGGCAAACTGATAGATAGACGGTGGACAGAGGCATTGTCCTCTCACGTAGTTTCTCCGTGTTTCGTGTGCGAGCCGAGACTGCCGGCTGCTCATTATCGGTCACCCTTCTGCCCGACTTCCGGCCTCGTATCAATAAAACCTTGTGCTTATGTGGTGACTAAGGGCTAGCAAAGGAACATTGGCTGATTTTGGAACGGTGATCATTGCAGTCAACAAAGCACCCTTAACGAAGGCGATGCAGGATAGACAGGGATGCGGTTATGTCTCAGATGAAGCCTGACGGGCGATATTCTTATCCGTCGATTAAATGAGATTTTGGAGAGTAGAGGGGGAGATGTGACTCTGGTTGGTGATAAGGAGATGCATGCGGAGGAAGGAATGTATGTGGAGTTACAGCCGCGGAAGGCGTATTGGGGAGAGATCTGAGAATGACTTCTATATCTGTCGGCGCCTCTGAGACCCATCAGATCCCCCGGAATGAGCGTACCCCTTGATAAAATGGCATCTTTCCCATTTCTTTTCCCGCCGATCCGAACCGCGAATTGACTTAGTGCACACCGCTACCCCTTACATTTCCTCGATTTTTCCCCAAGAAAACCGGCCAAGGACATTGCACCAGTCCTTGGTATGCCCCTTGGTCCTGTTTACCACGGTATCACCCACCTTTACGATTCACGTCATGGCTCCTCCAGTCATATTCACGGCAGCAGTCTTGTTGACGCTGCCCAACCAACTCGCAGCCCTACACCAGAACCCTGGGAACATCTCCACCCCCGCAGCGGCCAGCAATGGCGCGCTGCCGAGAACCCTTGAATCCTGTCTAGGAGCCACTGGCGCCTCCGTTGTGTACGCCACGGATGCTGGGTACTCGAATCTCACGGTGGCAGACAACAGCAACTATCACCCTCATCCTCAAGCTGTTGTCATTCCAAATTCAACGGAACAAGTTGCTGCTACTGTTCGCTGCGTGGCAGCCGAGCAGGGTCGGGTCACTCTCACGACCCGTGGTGGTGGCCATGGCTATGCTGCGTACAGTCTTTCAGGACAAGTCGTCATTGACTCCAGCCAGATGACCGACATTGCCCTGGACGAGAGCACGCAGGAGGTAACCGTGCAAATGGGTCAGAAGCTTGGCCCGCTGGCCCTGGCCATGGGTCGCGCGGGATATGCCTTGCCTCATGGCACCTGTCCGGGGGTGGGAGTAGCTGGACACAGTTTGGGGGGTGGCTGGGGGTTTACCTCTCGCGAGTGGGGATGGCTAGTAGACCGAGGTAAGTTGAATGATTTGTTCGAGTCCTTTCACCAAGGTCCCAGCTAATTTCATGGCAAGTGGTCTCACTGGAGCTTGTGGACGTGACCGGCCGCATCCGAACGATCAGCCCTAGGGCAGCAAAGTCCAATACCACATCTACGGACGACGAGGATGATGACCTCTGGTGGGCGCTTCGCGGTGCTGGCTCCAACAATTTTGGAATTGTGACGTCGTTCACCTACCGCATGGAGCCCGCTCCAACGGCCATCGTCAACTACAACATTGGCTTCGCGACTCAGTCAGACTGCGTACAGGTCCTTCTAACCCTACAAGAGATCGGATCCCTACCGGCGACCTCCCCCGCCGGCTTTCCAACCTCCCTGGGTGGAGAACTCATCATAGATGGTGGCTACCAGGCCCCTAAGGCCTATTGCACCTTCACTGGCCAATACCTCGGCGATTCCGCCGCCTACAACAAAACTATCGACCGCCTCCTTTCCCCACTCGCACGTCAGTCCATTCAGCCCCTCACAACCACCAGCTCCTTTTACACAAACTGGGTCTCCGCTCTCACCAATCTCATGGGTGACCTCGACTCCCCGTCTGTTCCACAACCCTATTACGCCAAATCCCTCTTTGACGACGGTCACCCTAACTACATTAGCACCTCCATCGCGAATATATTTTCCGCCATTCAGCCTGCCGGGCCTGATGCCTTTATCTCCTTCGACCTGAACGGTCCAGGTGCCGTCACCACCCTTCCCCCGGATGACAATGTCGGGCCCATGGCCTTCAATCATCGAAACAATCTCTTCATGTCGCAAATCTATGCTTGGGATTTCCCGGGGTTCACAAATGCATCAGCACGGGAGACTGCAGTTGACAGGCTTTCCGACGTCGCGGATGCGGTGCGCCAGGCCGATCCTGAGGGTGGTTGGCAAGCATATCAGAATTATATCGATCCGTATTTGCAGGATTGGGCAGAGATGTATTATGGAGATGCCTTGGACCGGTTGAAGGAGATCAAGAAGAAGTGGGACCCTTTGGGTATTTTGGATTTTCCACAGGGATTGGGACGTGCATGATGGGTGTATGCATATGTACGATCAGCTGAATATGCAGGTGTATGCGGTATTGTACGCGTAGATGGAACCCCTTGTTTGAAACGAGAGAAGAAAGATGACGACTTGGATAGACTTTTGAAGCAATGAATAGATAGACTATGAATAGACATGACGGACTCTTTTTGCAATATTGCGTGTTTTGATGAGGCGCTGGTACACCCTACTACTCTGATATAAGCACAGCTGCAGATAGACAGAACAATAAATCCAGAGTCATGTATAGTAAGTTACTATTATACTACTCCGTACTTTTTCAACATCACTTCTTAAGGACCCTCGAGAAGTTAGTATTTTATTGCTCTCAGTTCAGCCATATACTTATGTATGTATTGTTTGGTTACTGGTAGCTGAGGCAAGGTGCTGCTTCATGATATATATATATATATATATATATATATATATATGTGTGTGTGTGTGTGTGTGTGTGTGTGTGTGTGTGTGTGTGTGTTTCTATTGGTTCTATTTACTATGCAGTCGAAAACGAAGTGATGATTCAGGGTGAACTTCATATACTACTACTTACTGTGTTGGAAGTACCAGGTTGGAGTTAGTAGTAGTGTGTGTCCGTCATGAATAAATAATATACTCCCTACTAACGCTGTACGTACGAGTTGCTGGTTGTAGTCTCAATGATCTTATGACATTGTTTTAAGGTAAGACCACATTGTTTGATATCTCTTCATTTTAGAAACAGACTGTATGTTATTATCGTACTATTATTATACATTGGATGGATGGCTTTGACGCAGCATAGCGCGAGGTAAATACAGTAGAAAAGAGTGAAAGCAGGTGTGAAAGAATGACAAGACAAGATTATGGTGGTAATTAGTAAAGATAGTATTAGTAACAGTAACGATCCTAGTCACAACCCCGGTCCATCTATGCACACCCACATCCACATCCACACCCACCACCTACTCCGTGTTCTTCAGGTCGTTTCAAGCATGTTCAAGTCGTACGGACATTAACGAAGGGACATTAGTATGCAGGGATATCAAAAGTATAAACATCATCAGTATTAATGGTAGATGTTCAATCAAAGCCAAAGTCAACTGTGGTATCATGGTCGTATAAAAGAGAGACAAGAAAGGGGTATCGAATCCTCATCTCGCAGGAGACGGACGACTTCTCTTTCCTGTGCAGGACGTAGATGCAGACTCATGGATGCTGCGCAAGAGAGGACGTTGGCATGTGTAGTCGCCGTCACACGACGAGATGGCATTATCAGGTAGAGTCTGAAGTCTAGGCTGTGGCCAGAGGCGCGTCAGCAGGACCGCCGTGGGCGCCACCAGTGTTCTTCTCCCGGACTGGGGTGCTCTCGCGCCGGTAGGCCCAGAGCGCACCGACTTCGAGGAACATGGCGAAGAAGGTGAAGATGAAGGTCAGGAAGATGAAGGCTTCGTTGGCCTTCTTCTTAGAGCAGGACAGGCCGGGGGGAGAGTTGAAGGCGCAGTTGTGCCAGTTGTAGTCTTGTGCGGCAAAGATGAAGGCTGTGAGCCAGCTGTGGTTATGGTCAGTAACAGCACATAGCATGCATGGTTGGATGGCACATACAGGTACGAGAAGATGACATCGATAATCAGAACAAACTTGCTTAGGGCATTGGGCATGAACGGCGAGATGAAGGCGGGCAGGAAGAAGACAACAGACATGGTCGACTAATCCATGGTTAGTATGATAAGGTTCGACTTGTTTACATCAAGGGTAGGAGCATGCTTACAATGACTTCCCAGTAGATAGTGTGCTGGCCGCGAGGTCCCTTGTGGATGAAGTATGAAGTGATACCCATCACGATGACTGCACTGGCCCACTGCATGAACCGGGTGGCCAGCTGTAGTGGACGGGCCACGGTACTGGAGAACATGGCTGCGGTTGACTGGACTGAAAGTGTATAGAGATGGTAATAAAGTGAATTAGGAGGGCAACTGGTAGTTTATTGGGCGAGGCGCAAAGAGAAGCTCAGTTCCACTGACAGACTGGTTGGTCCGGCTCTGATGAATGGATGATGAAGAGGGGAAGAGAATGCCCAGGAGTGGGAGACCAGGACAAGGTTCTTTATATGTCGCCTGGCCGGCTTGAATGGATAGAGCGGAAGGGTGCATGGTGGACCGAATCAACGGGGCGTATCTTTTACGTCAGAGGATGTTGTATTATTTTTTTTTTCTGGAGCTTGAGCCGAAAGTTTTTCTGGCCCTGTGCAGTGGCCTGTTCAGGGAAGCTGAACGACGCCAACGGAAGGAGAGCCAGCTTTGGCGGGTTCTTTTGCGCTTTCCCCCAGATGCGTCATAATTTCCTCTGCATGAAGTAAGTCAGTTCCGAGGCGGACCAGTCGTTGCGCCG